GCCACGAAGCGTGTGAGGAGTGTGCCGACATGGGTGTGGGTGACGCATGCGGCCGTTGGGACTAGGGCATTCGGTGGATCTCCCTATGGGGCCACGACGCGTGAGGTGTGTCTGCCGAATTGGGTGTGGGTGACGCATGCGGGCGGTGGCACTGTGGCCTTCAGTGGAGCTCCCTATGGGCTACGAAACCTGTGAGGGGTGTGCCGAAATGGGTTTGGGTGACGCGTGCGGGCGGTGGCACTGTGGCCTTCGGTGGAGTTCCCTATGGGGCTCCGAAGCATTGTACTGGGTGGGTGAACTGCAGTGAGGAGGGGGGATGGGGGAGGAGGGAGGAGGAACGAAGGAGGAGACGCGGGGACCGTTTCTTCAGAACGAGGACCCAAGACCACAGGATGGTTGGGAAAAACATAAATCTTGCCTCACCCCTTCCAAGGAACCTTCGAGGCCTCAGGATGATCCAACAACGGCTGTCGACGAGGAGCCCCAAGAACGTCCAAGACGGTCGCCTGGAGCCCCCATGACCCTTCAAGATGGCTCCGAGACGGCCGAAAATGGCTTCGAGACAGCCCTCGAGACCGCCAAGACGGCCCCAGATAGCCTTCAGACAGCCCCAGGCAGCTTATGATGGCCCCTGGACGGTCCCAAAAGCCACTCAAGAAGATCCCTCCAAAAGGATCCCAAAAGTTACCAAGAGGCCACCAAGAGGCGAGAATCATCGAAGACCAAAGGAAAATTAGCCTGGCGAAGGACCCAACCATATGCAGTTGTGAATACCGCGATTGTGGATCTCATCTTCGCTCGCGCTCCCTATGGGGCCACGAGCCGTGTGAGGGGGCGTGCCGAAATGCGTGGCGGGGTCCCCAATACGTACAAAGACGATCGCCCTGAGTGCGCGAGACTGAGACCGGGTGAGCCTGAGCGCGAGTAAGTCTGATTGTGAATGTGTCTGCGTGCGAATCAGTCTACGTGCATCAATGTCGACGCCCATGTCGGCACGCCCCTCACGAGGATCGCGCCCGCTTCCTTCCCCTTCTTTTTCTGCCTCTTTGCCCGTGCACGCCGATGTCCATGGCTGCGGGCGCGGCGCCGCACTGAGTCCCCGCGACGCACGCTGGTCGCCCCGAAGGGGTCCCGGCGACGCGCGCGGGTCGTCCGCTGCGCGGAGCAGAGAGAGTGCTAGCTGGCTGGGTGATAGCGGGCAAGACTGTGGCCGCTGGGCAGAGCGACGACGGGGGCGAGCGAGGCTCTGGGCAGAGCGCAGCGCGGAATTCCCGCGACGCGCGCTGGTCGCCCCGAGGGTCCCAGCGACGCGCGCGGATCGCCCGCGGCGCGAGGCCAAACAGTCAGACCGTCGAGAGACGGCGAGTCTCGGGCGGGCCGCTCCTCAGGTCAAGCCTCGCGGATAAACTCGGTGAAGCCCATCTCCCTGGCGAGGGCCGTCGCTTCCCTTCTGCACCGCTTCGTGCGCGCCGCAAACTGCTCCAGCTGCTTCCGCAACGTGTGCCAAAATGGGGCGGCGGCGCATGCGAGTTCCGCCACTGGGACCTTAGGTGGAGCTCCCTATGGGGCCACAAAACGTGTGAGGGGTGTGCCAAAATGGGCGGCGGCGCCATGTGAGTTCCGCCACTGGGACCTTAGGTGGAGCTCCCTATGGGGCCACAAAACGTGTGAGGGGTGTGCCAAAATGGGGCGGCGGCGCCATGCGAGGTCTGCCATTGGGACCTTAGGTGGAGCTTCCTATGGGGCCACGAAACGTGTGAGGGGTGTGCCAAAATGGGGCGGCGGCGCCATGCGAGTTTCGCAACTGGGACCTTATGTGGAGCTCCCTATGGGGCCACGAAACGTGTGAGGGGTGTGCCAAAATGGGGCGGCGGCGCCATGCTGCGAGTTCCGCCGCTGGGACCTTAGGTGGAGCTCCCTATGGGGCCACAAAACGTGTGAGGGGTGTGCCAAAATGGGGCGGCGGCGCCATGCGAGTTCCGCCACTGGGACCTTAGGTGGAGCTCCCTATGGGGCCACGAAGCGTGTGAGGGGTGTGCCGAAACAGAAACGTGCGGAGAGCAAAAGCCAGGATGGGGAGGAGGGAGGAGGGGGAGGAGGAAGGAAGGAGACGCGGGGCACCGTTTTTTTCAAAACGAGGACCCAACACCACAGGATGGTTGGGAACAATATGTTGTCAAGAACTCGCCTTTTCTCTTGCGAGGGGCCTCTCAGGCCGGCCTCAGGGTGGTCCAACAATGGCCCACGAGGAACCCCAAAGCGGCCCAAGGCGGTCGCCTGCGAAACCCTTCAATATGACTCCTAGACGGCCGAAGATGGCTTCGAGGCGGCCTCGAGACCGACAAGACGGCCCCCAGATAGCCTCCAGACAACCCCAGACAGCTTAAGATGGCCCCCGGACGGCCCCGAAAGGCCATCATGAGGCTCCCAAGAGGCTTCCAAGAGGTTTCCAAGAGACGAGCACCATTGTAAAACAGTTGAAAACTGGTTTTTGCAGAACTTGCCTTTACGTTTCCGAGGGGCCTCACAGGCTTCAGGATGGTCAAAAAACGGCCCACGAAGGGCCCCAAAACGGCCCAAGACGATCGACAGGGCCCCCCCAGGCTTTTCCAGATGGCTCCGAGGCGGCCGAGGGCGCTTTCGAGTTTCGGAACTCCCTGACTTCCTGTCTTCGCCAGTGTGCCCCGCTTACAGACAATATTTTCGGGAACGCATCCTGTTGAGGCAGGTACAGGCCGCGGAAACAATAGCGAGCGCGCATGCCACATTCATCGGTCCACGCCTCCCCCTCCCCCAGATGCTCAAAGTTGGCGTTGGGTCTGATGAGTTGCACTTCGACCGCAGTCTCCCCTGCGCGTGCCAACTTTGAGTTTTGGGAAGCGGGGGAGTGTCCCCTAGTTCTGAAGCCTCGCGCGGGCCTCTCTGGGTCCTCCTGTGCCGTGCGCTGCTCCTCTTGCGCCGTCTTGGGGCCGTCTTGGGCCATCTCGGGCGCCTTTGGGGCCGCCCTGGGGCCATCTTGGACCGTCCTGGGCCATTCTCGGGCCCCACTTGGGGTCCTCATGGGCCGTCTTGGGCGCCTCTTGGGTTGTTTCTGGGGCCGTCTGCCTTTGTGCCTGGCCGGCTCCCGAGCAGGCAACGACGAGAAGCGATGACGTTGCTGCTGGTGCTAATGGCCCTCGGCACCACAGGGGGCACTCCCCAGGGGCGTTCGAGGCTTGGGGGTGGCGCCCTTTGGGATCTCCTCAGCTCTGTCCGGTGAGTTCGCTTTTCCAGCCCAGGGCCTTCGGGCTCGAGCGTTCGACCCCGATGCTCCCGCGCCTTCTGCGCGACCGTCCGCTTTCTCGATCTGGCCAGGATGTGCACGGGGGCTCCCGCAGAGCGCCGTGGCCACTGGCGCCGGCAGTGGTGCTAACACGGCGCGATCGAGGCGGAAGAGCTCTCTGGGGGCACTGGCACCAGAGGCCGAGCCGTCCAGTTCGGCATCGCAACACTGCTGACAGTCTGGACTGGGCTTAAGTCGGCCCTGCCCTTCTACTGGAGGATTATCCAAGTATAGTCAAACATTAGCCTGGCGAAGGACCCAACCATAGGCAGTTGTGAATGCCGCAATTATGAATATTATCTTCGCCCGCGCTCCCTATGGGCCACGAACCGTGTGAGGGGCGTGCCGACATGCGTGGCGGGGCACACAATGCGAGCGAAGACGATAGGTCTGTGTGCGAGAGACTGAGAGCGAGTGAGTCTGATTGTGGATGAGTCTGCGCGCGCGTGAGTCTACGTGCATAAATGTCGACGCCCATGTCGGCACGCCTCTCACGAGGATCGTGCCCGCTTCCTTCCGTTTTTCTTCTCCCTCTTGGCCTGTGCACGCCCGCGTCCAAGGCTGCGGGCGCGGCGCCGCACGGAGTCCCCGCGACGCGCGCTGGTCGCCCCGAAGGGGTCCTGGCGACGCGCGCGGGTCGTCCGTTGCGCGGAGCAACGAGAGCGAGCAGGCTGGCTCCCGCCCGGGATGCGCGGCCCGAAAGCGGCTTCAATACGTCGAATACGACGAAAAACGTCCGTAAATCGAAAATCGCCGCCATTCGAATTCTGCCACTGGGCCGCCATGCGAGTTCTGCCACGGAGACCTTAGGTGGAGTTCCTTCTGGGGGCACGAAGCGCTGTACTTGGTGGTGGATGACGCACGCGGGCGGTCCCATTGGGGCTTTCGGTGGAGCCCCCTATGGGGCCACGAAGCGCTGTGTTGGGTGGTGGATGACGCATGCGGGCGGTCCCACTGGGGCCTTCGGTGGAGCCCCCTATGGGGCCACGAAGCGCTGTATTGGGTGGTGGGTGACGCATGCGGGCGGTCCCAATGGAGCCTTCGGTGGAGCTCCTTATGGGGTGGAGATTGGGTCGTCGGGTCATATCCGCGGACGACCTGTATGCACCGTGCCGCTTCGGTGTCTCCCGAGGCGTCGTCAATCTTCGACCCGGGAATGATACGGTGCATAGCGTTTTCAGCCTTCAGGCCCTAACAACTATGCGCCGTACCGCGTTGGAGCGGGGCCCGAGGAGAATCCAAACATGGTGCGGTGCACGGGCGCCGTTCTCGTAGATCATAGCTTGGACCTCTGGCGGCCGTGCGGGACGGTTCTTCTGTCCTCCATTGGAGCGCTCTCGGCGAGAAGCGCAGCTGCCCAGAAACAAACACCCCGGGGCGAGAAAACCTCCAGGAACCCGCGGCAATTCCCGAAAGCTCCCAGGAACCGCGCTCGTCGAAGTTCGGGGGCTCGTCGGGGGCGGCAAAAAGGGGGGTGATGACTTGGGTGGGGGTGGATGTCATGGCGGGGCCCATGATATCGCCCCAGATTTCATGGCGTTTCTTCGTGTTTCAGCACGTCCCCGGCCCCTGCCGCGCACGTGCCGCCGGCCGTGATTTGCGCGCCCCCCCCCCCCCCCCTCTTGGACGCCCCCCTCTTGGACGCCCCCCTCTTGGCCTTCCCCGAGCTCTCCCGCAGGGGACGGCATCTATGCCGTCGTGGCACGGCTGGACGGCGAGCTCGCGAAGGAGCGGCAGCAGCGCGAGGCGCCCCCGCGTTGCCCCGCGGGCGGGCCGCCGTTGTCGGGCGGGGGGCCTCGAGGGGGCCTCGCCCTGCGCTTTTTCAGCGGGCCAGGCTCTCCCCCCAGGGGGCTCCCGCCCAAGGGTTCGGCGGTAGTCGAGCGCGGCTGGGGCCGGGGCGCACGCGCGGCGCGCGGGCGCAGCGTCTGGGTGCCCCCTCGAGGCCCGGGGGTCCCGGATGCGGCGTTAGCCAGAGGCTACGGAATATTCGAGTGGCTGCTCGCAAACCAGGGGAAGCGCGGTCGGAGTGGACCCCTCTCTCTATCTCTCTGTCTGTCTGTCTTTCTATCTCTGTCTCTACCTTTCTTTGCCTGCGCTTCCAACGTGCTCTGTGCATCCCCTTCCAAGGGCTGTCACTGGAGGGTTGGAGTCCGAGCGTCTATGGGGACACTAGGTCCCACGCCATCATCGTGGACCTGGAATGCTACCTCCGTTGCTCTGCTGTACCCAACGCGCACCAATGCAGCAGCTGAGGCCAGTCCTAGGGCAACACGGTCATTGTCCCAACTCGCATTATAGTGGCATCCGTGCAGACTGCCAAGGGAACCAGGATCACCACATCAATTTCACCCACATACTGTCCCACAGCGCCCCTTCGACGATGGTTTTGATCTATATATATGGCATGCCGAGGCGCCGCTTTGGCCGGCGGGTCCAAAGTATTCAATCGTCGTTACAATACTCCGTTCGGCGACTGCTGAGCATTGAAATCTGCACGACCGATTCATGCCGGTCTAGGAGGGGGTTTGGGATCGTCGTGTCGGTGCCATCTAAAGGTCCCCCACGCCCCGCACGAGTCCTTCTAGTTCTTGTGCAGGGTGCAAGAATGGATAAGAGGATGTCTCTGTTATCCCCTTGGCATGGGTACGACTCTCAGCCTGACAGTCGGCTCCAGTGCTCGCGCCTGCGTTCTATGCGGGGCTCCGCCACCAACACCGGCGTGCCAGGTCTGCTCGCAGTCACTGCTTCCAAGATTGACTCTAGCAAACCCGCAAACAGTATCTTCACATAATTGGCCTTCTTGGCCGATGCTGTGTTCCGTGAACGTCGCGACGATTTGCGCCCTCACTGTCATCGGCTTGCTACGTCCGCTTGCCAGCCCTGAGTATTTGCCTCCTCCGCATTTGACCACCCTCCTCCTCCGCCTTCGGCCTCCTCGTCCTCGTCGTCGTCGTCCGCCTCCTGCTCTTCCTCCGTCGTCTTCCCATCCCCTGCCTACTCTCCTCATTTGCCTTGCGATCTGCACTCCTCCTCTAATCGTCGTTGTCCTCGTCGCACTCTCCTCTCCCTGCTACTCTTCCCTGAGGTCTTGTCCCCCTCCATCCTCCACATTCTTCACATCCTCTCTCTTCCCTCCTCCCTCTTTCCTCTTCCCCGTTTTCCCTTCATCCTCGTTCTCTTTCTCCCTTTCCCTCCTCCCTCAGCTCTTCTTCTCCCTCCTCATTGCTTATCCTGCCCACACGTTGCGACACTTACTGGGCTGCCAGGTGGCGACCTCGGCTTCCGAGTGCGGACGAACCGAGCCCCACCCTCTCCTCGCCTCCTCCCCCCCTCCTTTCCATATTGACCTCCCACCTTCCCTCTTGCCGGGCAGGCACCGGAGGACCGCTCGCACGTGGGTCCGCCCACATATAATTTTTTTCAGGTCAAGGCCTCCACGCCATGCCAGATCGACGACTCCGGCTTTCGCTTCGCTTCCCTGTTCCCCTCTTCCCCTCTTCCCCTTTCCCCCCTCTTGCGACCCGTGCCTCCGCAGGCCGTGGAGGCGCGCGTCGCTGCGCTGGAGATGTCCGTCGTGCGGGAGCACGAGGACCGAGGAGGACCGAGGATCGAGGATCGAGGGTCGAGGACAAGGAGGAAGCGGGGGGGGGGGAAGGTCGAGGATAGAGGAGTGTCTTGAGACGTCCTGGGCAATTTTTTGGCCTCCTGGGGCGCCCTCTTCACCATGGCTGGATTCTCCTCGGGGCTCTACGTCAGAACGCACCCAGGGAAAGGTCTGGTGGTTGGCTTGAGGGCGACGATGATGATGATGATGATGATGATGATGATGATGATGATGATGATGATGATGATGATGATGATGATGATGATGATGATGATGATGATGATGATGATGATGAGATGATGATGAGGATGAGGATGATGATGATGATGGATGATGCTGCTGCTGCTGCTGCTGCTGCTGACGACGACGACGACGACGACGACGATGATGATGATGATGATGATGATGATGATGATGATGATGATGATGATGATGATGCTGATGCTGATGCTGATGCTGATGATGCTGATGCTGATGCTGATGCTGATGATGATGATGATGATGATGATGATGATGATGATGGTGGTGGTGGTGGTGGTGGTGGTGGTGGTTGTGGTGGTGGTGGTGGTGGTGATGATGATGATGATGATGATGATGATGATGATGATGACGAGGAGGAGGAGGAGGAGGAGGAGGAGGAGGAGGATGAGGAGGAGGAGGAGGAGGATTTTTGTTTATTCAAAATATGTTGGTGCGTATCGTCAGTATCTGCTCAGGGTCACCGCTCTGCACCAAGGTCAAGCCTTGGGGGAGAACGGATGCCACAGGGATCTCCTTGGGTTCCACAGGGCACATGAACGCGAAGTGGCCGAGATAGTGCGATTGCACACGCGGCAACATCACAATTTACCAATCTTTCACGTCTGTTCCAAACTGCCTTCTAGGCTCGCGAGGGGCCTCCCTGGCCAGGAACTGGATAAGACGCGGCGAGCGCACACTTAAACAACACTTGTCTCCCTTCGTGTGGCCGACTTGCGTTTGGATGAGATGCACCACTCGACTTGTGGGTACCCGCGCCTAGATTAGGCGGTGCCCAGCGCTTGAACGGGTTTGCCCCGAGGCCAGTGCAGTCTCCTTGGACAGATGATCGGCATCAGCCCCAGCCGGACACCCATACGTATTTGAATTCCATTCTGGGGCTGCCTCAAAAATGCTTGGCCAGTCGCCAGGCGCCTCTCTCCAGCTGGCCCGACGCGTCTTCAGACTTCAGGCGGCAGGTGGACTTTTTATTTCAATAGCAACGTGCAAGTCGGCGGTGCGCCAGGTCTGAGCCTCAACGCGCCGCAGACATTAATGGGCAGCTGTAGTGGTCTGTGTCTTCCCGCTCGCCTCCAGGTTTTTTGTCGTTTCTTATTTTTTGTGGTGTGATGCGCGAATACCACGCGCCCCATTAAGCCGCACCCTCGGTCCCTGATGACAGAACTTGCCGTGCGTGGACCAGAGTGCGCTCGAGCGCGCCGCCTATGGCAGGGTCCACTTTTATGTATTCTTCCTTATTCGAGATCGACTCCGGCCAGTCCGATCCGATTTGATTCGAGGCAATCCGATGCGGCCCGACGCTTGCGTGGCGCTGCTATGTATCCTGGCGTGGCCAGTCCGATTCGATTTCGGCTCCGTGCCCTCCGTGCCGGTGTGGACAGGTTTGGCGCACATGCTGATCCTGCCCGACCTCACGGTTCGGTATTTGGTGATCGTGCCTTAACTCTGGCTCCCCTCCCCCATCGGCGGCGAGTCCGAAAGCCACCCTCGCAGATCAGCGATTCAGGCATCTCGATCGGCGCCAGGGGTAGGGTTCTGAATTTGTCGAACACGTGGCGAAATCCAAACCTCACCCCAGCCTCCCATCCATTCAGGAGAGTCGAAGGTTGGTGGGGGTCGGGTTCGGATGTCGCCACATATCCTATCCACCCACGCGGTGCGCCGCTGCGCTTCAGGAGCGGGAGCTCCAGCTGCAGGGCTTCTCAGGTCGCTCCTTGCGGGGGGGGGGCGGGGCGCCGGGTCCGAGAGTGGGGCGCGGCCAGTGGCCTGCGGCCAGCGGTTAGGAGGGGGCTGAATGGGTGTGTTTGTTTGTTTTTTGTTTTGTTTTTCCCAACCATTCTGTGGTGCTGGGTTTTCGTTTTGAACAGACAGCGCCCCGCGTCCACTCCTTCCTTCCTCCCGCTGCCTCATCCCTCCTCCCATTCCGCGTCCTCATCGTCATCGTTATTATCATCGTCATTCTCATCGTCATTATCATCGTCAGCATCATCGTCACCATCACCATCATCATCATCATCATCATCATCATCATCATCATCATCATCATCATCATCATCATCATCATCATCATCATCATCATCATCATCGTCATCGTCAGCATCATCATCATCAGCATCATCATCAGCATCATCATCATCGTCATCATCATCGCCATCGCCATCATCCGCATCATCATCCACATCATCATCCACATCATCATCATAATCATCATCATCATTGTCATCACCATTATCATCATCATCAGCATCAACATCAGCATCATTATGATCATCATTATCAGCATCATCAACATCATCAGCATCATCAGCATCACCACCATCAGCATCATCATCTGCATCATCGTCATCATCATCACCATCATTATCGCCAGACTCATCATCATCATCATCATCATCGTCGTCGTCATTCACCATCATCATCATCATCATCATCATCATCATCACCATCACCATCACCATCACCATCACCATCACCATCACCATCACCATCACCATCACCATCACCATCACCATCACCATCACCATCACCATCACCATCACCATCACCATCACCATCACCATCACCATCACCATCACCATCACCATCACCATCACCATCACCATCACCATCACCATCACCATCACCATCACCATCACCATCACCATCATCGTCATCATCGTGCCTCTGCTCTCCGCATGTGCATCATTTCGGCACACCTCTCACACGGTCCGTGGCCTCATAGAGAGCTTCACCGAAGGCCCAGTGACAGGGTCCTCATGCGTCCCCCCGCCCATTTCGTTTGCCTGGATGCCACGCTGCATTAGCGACAGCCTAGCTTTCCTTCTCCTCCTCCTCCTCCTCCTCCTCCTCCTCCTCCTCCTCCTTCTGCTCCTCCCTTATCCCTCCCCTCCTGTCTCTCCTGTCTCGTGCCCCTCCTGTCTCTTCCGCCCCTCTTGTCTCTCCTGTCCTTCTGGTCCCTCCTGCCACTCCTGTCCCTCCTGTCCCTCCTCGTCCCCCTGTCCGTCCTCCGTCTTCCTCCCTCACCTCGTTCCTCTTCCTCCTTTCCCTCTCTGTTCTGTCGCCTCCGCCTCCTCCTCTTCCTCCTCCCTGCGGCTGTTGTTTCTCCTCTTCCTGCTGGAGGGGGGAGGTGGAGGGATCAGAAGGGGGAGAGGCCATCGCCTGACGTTTGCATTTGGGCCAGGGGAGGGTGGGTGGGTGTGAGGTTGTTGTGTGTGCGTGTGTGTGTGTGTGTGTGTGTGTGTGTGTGTGTGTGTGTGTGTGTGTGTGCGCATGTCCGCCGCAACAAATGTATACACAGGCACCCTCCAATGTATTGTTCCTGGGCCTCTGGGGAGGGCGGTGGTGTGCAAATTTCCGTTGCGAACCAGCGAGTTTATACACCGCTACCCGCACATAAGATACACGCAAAATTCGGCGTCGGGTATCAGTGTATGTATTTTCGTGGCGTAGGGGAGGGGGCTGCGCGTCGTGCCAGCAGTGGGCGGGGGGAACCGCGAACCAGCCGCTGGGGTGGCGAGGCGAGCTCGAGCAGACGATGAGAGAGATCATCGCCCGAGTGGACGAGGCAAGCCTGGCGCGCACTCTCCCTGCCTCTGCCCCCGTCCTGCTGCTGCTGCTCCTCCTCCTGTCCCCTCCTCCGCTTCCCCCGCCTCCTCTACCCTCCACCCTCCTGCCCCTCCTCCCCCCGCCCCCCCCCCTCCCCCTTCTGCTCTGCCTCCTCGTTCCCCTCCTCTCCCTCTCCCTCCCTCTCCCTCCCTTTCTCCCCACCTTCCTCCTCTTCTGGCTGGGTGCTCGCGTGACCATCAGTTCCCGCATTGCTTAGAGGTCTCTCCCTCTGCTCTCTCTTCCTCTCCCTCCCCGCCTCTCCCCCTTATACCTTAATCTTCCTTCCCTTCCAGCCTTTCCCTCTCCCGTCTCTTTCTCTTCCCTCCCCCTTCTCTCTTTTCATTCACATGCTCACATGCTCGCTCGCTCGCTTGCTCGCTGCCTCTCTCTCCGTCTCTCCCTCTCTCGACATGTACATGTATATGCATATGTCTTTATACACATACATATATACAAGTGGCACCTGTGTGCCCATGCTCATGTAAAGAAACTGAAAGGGCGTTTGAAGCTGGAAGACACCGTGACGGCGGGATCGGAGATGGAGAAGGGGAAGCCGGGGGGCGGCGGCGCCGCCAAGGCGTGCCTACGAGACGGGGAAGAGGCAGGATATGCACGCAGAAGAATCTAAGATCGAGTAAGAGCCCACCCCCAACGGATGGGGGATCGAGCAGGAGGCTCCGAGGCGGGGTCTGGGGTACCAGAAGGTACAGAAAGCCGCAGGAGGCCCCAGGAGGTTCCAGGAGGCCACCAGGAGGCTCCGAGGCGGGGTCTGGGGTACCAGAAGGTACGTCGGGGCTCAAATTTGGAATGTTGTCTCAGGCGAAACCGCCATTCTCTGAGAATCGGGGTCAAACTCATTGAACTCACAATGTATGTTTGAAGGTTTTATGTTAGAATGTTGAAATTCCAATGTGTTTTTGGACCCTGACGTCACGATCCGTGTAAGGGGTGCCACCGATTTTCAGAATTTCGAGGATGTCCCTAGCGAAACGGCCAGAAAATCGAGAACGCGGCGCGTACGCATTAATCGCCTCTGAGCTCTACTCCCTCGGAGAGGTGCGTATGAGTTTTTTTTTTGTATATATATATATATATATATTATTGTTATATATATATATATATATATATATATATATATATATATATATATATATATACAAATATGTGATCCAACCAGGTTTTCGATATTTCGTCATACCGTCACCCGATCTTTTCTTTCATACATACAAATGTAGATATGACCTTTCTATCGCACTCGTCGTATCATCTGTACATCTAAATATACATATGTATACATATCTATATGTATGCATGTATGCATGTATGCATACATGCCTGTAGGTGTGTCGGCATGCATGTACGTATGCATGTATGTACGTAGTGTGTCAGGCATCATCAGAAAGTGTACAGTCATGCAAGGTACTGTACTGTAATGGAATGCAGTGCGGTGCAATCCAACGCAAGGTATTTTATTATTATTATTTAATCGCTTCGCTCATTCCGCCGGCCCTGGAGCGCTATTTGGGGCCTCCTGGGGCCGTCTTGGGGGCCTCTTGGGGGCTTCTTGGGAGCGTCTCGGGGCTCTTTGGCGGCGTCTTGGGCTCTCCTGGGGCCTCTTAGGGGCTCTTGGGGGCTCCTTGGGGCGGGAGGGGGGTAGTCGATTGCAGCCACCCCCTCGGAGGCCACGATTCTCGTGAGGGGTGGCGGAAATAGTTCCCCCCCTGGGGATCGCCCGGGTCCCGGCCGGGGATCGGCCGGGGTACTTTCGTCCGGGGGCCCCCAGGGGCCGCCCCGCGCGCGCGAATTAGAAATATTGTTAAGTAGTTACCAGAGATCTTAGCACGCCTCTGGCCCGTTGGGCCGGCGAATTTGTCATGTAGTGTACTGCGATGCAATGCATTGTGATGTGATGTGATGTGATGTGCTGTGGTGAGGTGTGATGTGATGTGATGTGATGTGATGTGATGTGATGTAGCGTCATGTAGTGCGACGTATAGTGTAGTATAATGTATTTCAATGTGATGCAGGATCATGCCATGTAATGTCATGTAATGCCATGTAGTGTCATGTAATGTAGTGTAGTGTTATATCAGGTAGTGCAGTGTAGTGTAATGTAATGTAACGTAATGTAACGTAGTATAATGTAAAGTAGTGTACCGCATTATATACTGCTTTGATGCTATGGACTGTGTTACAATGCAATTTACTGTACTGTAGTGTAATGTAATGTACTATAATGTGGTGTAGTGTATTGTACGGTATCGTAATGTAATGTAGTGTAGTAAAATGTAACGTAATGTACTATAGTGCATTGTAATGTAATGCATACGTGCAGGCAGGTAGGCAGGTTGGTATATAGGTATATATGTACGTTCGTACGTACGTACGTATGTATGTATGTATGTACAATGCATTACCTCGACTCGCCATGGGGGCGCCGAGCTCTCCGGGCGGCGGTCCGAAAGCCGCCCAGACGGCCTTAAGTGGCGTCACGGAGACACCAGAAGGCTTCTAGATGTCCCGCGGGGCTTCAGGCAGCCCCAGATAGCTTCAAGACGGCCTAAGAGATTTCGACGAGCGCTTCCCAGAGGGCCCCAAGAGGCAAGCACCAATCATTTTCCATAGGTTTATCAATGTTTTGAGGATTCTCGACTTTCGAGCTCCCGACGCTCCACGACGTCCAAAGAGGCCCCCAATGCCGCCCCAAGACGGCCCAAGAGGCCCCCAAGAGGGCCCCGAGACGGGCCAAGAGGGTCCCAAGACGGCTCCCAAAGGGGCCCAAGACGGCCCAGACGGCCCAAGAACGCTCGCCGAGCGCTCCCCAGAGGGCCCCAAGAGGCAAACGCCATTGATTTTCCATCGGTTTTTTCATGTCGGGGCTCTCGACTTTTCCAGCTTCTGGCGCTCCACGACGTCCCAAGAGGCCCCCTCGACCGCCCCGAGACGGGCCAAAAGGCTCCCAAGAGTGCCCAAAGATGGCCCAAAGGGCCCCCAAGCTGCCCTGGAGGCGCCCTCAACGCCCCAAGACAAGGTCCCCAAGAGGACCCTAAGACGGCCAAGGGAACCCCAAGACGGCCCTACACGCGCCCAAGAGAGCTCCGAGACGTCCCCAAGAGGGCCCCAAATTTGCACAATTTTAACGCGAACCGCTTCCTCGTCAAGGATGGCGTTGTGTAGAATTAGTGTTAAATTGTTGGGGCGCTGGGGCCGCTCTGGGAGCTTCCCTGGCGCCCCTTTGGGCCCTCGCAGGCTGTCCTAGCTCTCTTGGGGTCCTGTGAGAGTTCCAGGAGAGCCCCAGGAGGCCACCGGAGGCCCCACAGATCTCCAGAGCCCGGAGGCCCCCAGAAGCCCCGGAAAAGCAAAACACGACACAGAACGTGCAATCGTTTGATAACGTCCACAGAGGACGACCACCACCACCACCACGATCACCACGATCACCACCACGACGATCACCGCGACGGCGGCGGCGGCTGCGGCAGCGGCGCCAGCGGGGGCGGGGGCGGCGGCGACGGCCTGGCGGCCTGGAGCTTCTAGGGATCTCCTCGGCCACCGTGGCAGTCACGTCACTTGCGCAGGCTGGGAAGCACTCGGAGCCTTCTGCGACCGCCCACCGAACCATAAGCTATCCCCCAGAAGGCCCAGCACCTCCACGCGCCAAGGGCGGCACTTTCCTGGTGAATCCCTCCCTGGGTATCCTGGGGTTCGTGAATAAGCGCAAGGTCTACTGACAGCGACTGCGCAGTCGGCTAGAACCTGAGCGCGCGCGTATCGCGCGCGTGGATCTACTAATTCCCCAGTCAGAGCTTGCCTCTGTAGGGGTCCAAGTGGATTCATATGGTTAGGTGAGGTTTGTCACCGATTTCCGAGGCCCGCCCGGGTGCCCGGGTGCCCAGGTGCCCGGGTGCCCGGGCGCCCGGGTGCCCGGGTGCCTTATGGCCCTATAGCCCTATAGCCCTATATCCCCATAGCTCTATAGCCCTATAACCCTATAGCCCTATAGCCCTATAGCCTTATAGCCCAACAGCCCCATAGCCCTATAGCCCCATAGCCGTATAGCCTTATAGTCCCACAGCCCCATAGATCTATAGCCCTATAGCCCTTTAACCCTATAGTCCTGTAGCCCTATAGCCTTATAGCCCTATAGCCCTAGAGCCCTATAGCCCAATCGCCCTAGAGCCCTACAGCCTTATAGCCCCACAGCCCCACAGCCCTATAGCCCTATAGCCCTATAGCCTTATAGCCCCACAGCCCCATAGCCCTATAGTCCTATAGCCTTATAGTCCTTTAACCCCATAGCCCAATAGCCCCACAGCCCCATAGCCCTACGGCCCTATAGCCCTATAGCCATATAGCCCTATAGCCCAATAGCCCTATAGCCCTAAAGCCCTATAACCATATAGTCTTAAAGCCCCACAGCCCCATAGCCCTATAGCCCTATAGCCCTATAGCCCTATAGCCTTATAGCCCCACAGCCCCACAGCCCTATAGCCCTGTAGCCCTATAGCCTTATAGCCCCACAGTCCCATAGCCCTATACTCCTATAGCCTTATAGTCCTTTAACCCCATAGCCCAATAGCCCCACAGCCCCATAGCCCTACGGCCCTAAAGCCCTATAGCCATATAGCCCTATAGCCCAATAGCCCTATAGCCCTAAAGCCCTATAACCCTATAGTCTTAAAGCCCCACAGCCCCATAGCCCTATAGCCCTATAGCCCTATAGCCCTATAGCCTTATAGCCCCACAGCCCTATAGCCCTATAGCCCTATAGCCCTATAGCCCTATAGCCCTTTAACCCTACAGCCCTATAACCTTATAGCCCTATAGCCCTAGAGCCCTAGAGCCCTAAAGCCCTAGAGCCCTATAGCCCTGTAGCCCTATGGCCCTATAGCCCTATAGCCCCATAGCCCTATAGCTTTATAGCCCTATAGCCCTATAGCCCTACAGAGCCCCATAGCC